AGAGACAATTTCTAAGTATCATTTTCTTCATGTTCTTGGTATACTCATGTCTCACAACACAGTAGATAAATACAGTTGAAATCAACACTCATTGTCTGTGTCTCACGTCACCTGAAAAGGTGAAAGCTTATTTAAGCGTGCACATTGCAAACTGATCTCCAGAGGGAAATTCAAGTTCCAGAGAAGAAAAATAGCTGTCATTCAGCTATTTTGACAGCACAGTACTCAGGATCGCCAAGGGATTTCTCTCTTAACAGTGAAGAGGTGTTTCCCCCCAGCCCAACCTCCATATTTGAAGTTGAGATGCTCAGAGTTTGGTATTTGAGGCTGAAATTGTACCATAATTATTTTTGTTTCCTACGCAAGATGCAACAAAACAAAAAACCCCCCAGATGTTAATTACTCAGCCTGCACAAAATAATTTTGGTCCATCTTTGTCCAGTGACTGACACCCAGAAGATGATTCCATTTTGCTTAGCAATGTAAATGTCTGAGTAGCCTTAAATGTGTTTTCACCATAAACCCATGAGGTCCAAAGAACACAGAATGTCTTACACTGTCTGCCCATTTAAACCATTTTTATGAAGAAAACTAAGAAAGGCCACTTATAGCAATACGTATTATTTTAATAAAGAATGCAGCTTACCTAAAAAACAAAAAAACAAAAACTCAAAGTTCTTCATTCTCTGTGCCTTTGAATCTTTCAGAGAGAAATCAAGACTAAAACTGTCCCAAACCGTTACTTTGGGCAGGAGGATGGCACCTACCATATTCTAAATTTCTTTTTACATAACAGCATTTGGAGAAAAAAAAAAAGTTTTGAAATTTTCTGTGTCTTCTTGTTGGACATGACTGTCAAAACCATGACAGTCTTGGCTTCTTTTTGTTGAAAGACACATAAGGAAGAGGTAAATATTCAGTTTAGTACACTACCAAAATAAATGTAGCTCACCTTTAGCTCTGCTTGTGTGAATCCTGCCACGAACCCAAATCACTTCATCAGCTTTCTCTGTTGTCAAGTCCTTTATTTTCACCAAAACTCGTTCTGTAACAAAGAAATGGAAGTTATTTTGTTATGTTCAGCTTAGTGAAAATTATTCCTCTTTGCACTCCAAATACCACAGTTTTCAAAGACAACTGCTTATACGTATATGACCAATCCTAAACATTATATTATTTACAGCATAATGTGTTGTAAGTGCTTAAAACATCAGTGATCCTACTGACATCAAGTATGGATGGTGTTTGATCAACTTTAATAATTTTAAAATGGTTCAGGCAAGCATACAATTTGACTTAGAATAGTTACCTGGGACAGGATCAAATTATGTTTAGAAAGTTCTGGTTTTAATGTGGGTTAGGGACAGCACCTCAGACAGTCTTTTGTAAATTCAAATGAATTAGTATATATACAGCCATTGCAGAAGTAAACCCCTGTAAGACTGAAATTATTTTGTGGGTACTGCAAAATAAAACACAAACAGGAAATGCTGGAGCAATGGATCCATAAACACATGTCTGTATAATGGGCAAGCCTAAACTTGGACAACTTAGGGCAGAAATGAAGTACAACACAGAAACTCCAAATCTCAGTTTTCATTTCCCGGACCTGTAAGAAATTAGCTTTTACATATTTGGAAGGTACAGACCTTGTTCTTCCACAACACCCTGGGCTAGATTTTCAAGATATTTAGATAACCAAGAGTGTAGATAGCTACTGAGTTAGATATGCCTAGGCCCATCACGGTACAAAGAAATGTACACTTAGAGAAGCTTTGAAAGGGAAAGGATAGCTGCTGCTCCCTTTGGGATAGCCCAGTAGCTTTTGTGCTTTAACTTTTACCTGTGCATGTTACCAATACAAGTTAACTAAATCATCCCAATTCTGGCCCTGAATTAGATGGTTAATGTCTGCTACATCTGTATTGCTACAAGGTCATACATAGGTAACAGCTACAGCAAAACAGCTTGTGCACAATCTGAGTAGCAGCTACCTCTCCCCTTTTGAAGGTGCTCCAAGTGTACATTTGTCCATCCTCCCTAATTCCTCCTAATCAATGGAATTCCATATCCAGTGAGATTTTTAAAAAATGCCTAGGATGCATTAGCACAGGCACCCCAATATCTTTAAAAATATGTTGGGTCTACCTTTTGCTATTGTTTGGGTACTAGGTCAAAAGACAGAGGCTGAGAATTAAAAATTCCCAAGAAGGCAAGGAATGAAACTGGAAAACAGTAAGTCAGGCTGAAAACTCAGGCTGTGGCTAGATTAGGAGTTAGAGGTGCACTGTTCAAATGTTAGTGAACCTAGCCTAACAGTCTAGTGGACTTTCTGAGAGAGAACCAAGTTAGTGAACACTTTCACAGTCTAACAATACACCTTTAAATCCCAGCCTAGACAAGACTAAGATCAAGAGTATTTCTCCAAACAATAGTGCAAACGTCTCTTCAATTGTTTTTTTTTTCTTTTTAAACTGCAATTCTTAACTGCATTGGGATCTGAAGTGGCCACAAATAAGCTCTAATGGGAGAAGTGAACAGGTCAGGCAAGCTAGCAGGAACATCAAGTGCTGAAAAGAGGCAAACAGATTTTCCTTCCAGTAAAACACTTCTTGGAAATGAAAAGGGTGGAGATGCAATTCACATTTTTGGAAGCACTGTTATTTGGTGGGTGTTTATTACAAGCTTGAGTTAATGGGACAACTGGGTACAACTGGTCAGACTCTGAATTTTCTAGGGGGAAATGGGACAAGGACTCTTTATTAAAAAAAAAGCTTTTTCTTCCAAAAGCACCAAAATTACACTTTTGTACCTAGTATTTTATAGTGCATATGGTTGTAATTACAGATTTACAAGTAACTGATTCTTAGAAACCATGTACCTTTTCCTACAAATAATCCCGAGCACAAAGCTCAATACATCTGTAATACCACTGATCGCGGTACTGACTGTTGATTGTGGTTAACTGCACTGATTTTAGTGGGGCTATTTATGGTACCAAGCAGTAGCTTTGGTGTTAAGGATCTGTAGGATCAAGTTGCATGTTTGGCACTATTTGTGTTAGAGAGTTTGAAAGGACATCTGTTGAAGCAACGATTACCGCTTTTAAGCCAATACCACGTCATGCTGCAATGAACAATTAATAGGCTGATCTCACCTGAGTAGGCTCCTCATTTCTTCAGTAGTGCCCTTTCAATTGCACTTTTTCTTCAATTTTTGACTACAACTGTTTTGCATGATCTTAAACACTCACTTCTATTTTTACAATTTCTGAAGTACAACTGCAGCATAAGTAATACATTTTAGAACTCAGTTCTATAGCATCATTCAATTATTCATAGTAAAAAACAACATCGCTCATTTAGGGGGATAGTCTTCAGAAAGAATCAATAATACAAGCAATCTAACCTCCCGTGTTGATTAGAAGCTTATCTATTTCCAAATACCAAGTTTAATTTCCCTAATTAGACACGCCACCATATCTACCCTGGGCTGCTCTTCCCATTAAAAAAACTCCCCCATAGTTTGCCCACTCCAGGTTACCATCTGCTATTCTGGACTCTTTCCCTCTGTCTCTGAAGACTTTTCACAGCTTGCCCCACAATTGTATTATTCTGCACTGGGATGGGATTCAATTTCTGGGAATTAAGTTTTTGGATTTGAAAACTCATTTTAATTTTTCTGTAGGGTGATGTGACATTAAAACATTGGTGTTACATGGAACTATAATCTTATTCTTGCTTAAAATTCTATTAGGAACATACTGATCTCTGGTTAGCACCTCTCCTCTGTAGACAGATAAATAGAAACCAAGTAAAGCAACAGAATGAAAGTGCAGAGTGAAGTGACAGAAAATCTACCGAAATGCTTATCAACAGAGGAAAGTGGTGGGGGGAAAAAAGAGTGGGAGTGAAGTATTGTGACCAAACTGGCAACTTCAGGGCCGCAAATTTCAGCACCACAGATGCAAAACTTTGAAATCTCTAGTTCCTAGCAATCCAAAATACTGGTATCAGAAAGTTAGAATTACCTGAATTTAAAACTGTATTATTTCAAAGCGATAACATTTTCCAGGCACTAATACAAAGACTGAATGAGATGTCACCCCTTTGATAAGCCCCTAGTGTATTGCTCACCATCTGCATTGTATTAACATTTTTAAAAATGTACTGGACATATAATGATCTGGCTTTAAGCAAGACCAACTGGGACACATTTTAATAAAAAAAAAAAATGGATAGAGTATGAATTATTTAAACATATTTTACCTTACATAAAAAGAATAAAGCAACCTCCAAAGACAGGCATAATAAAGAAAAGATTCTTGTGTCTACTTCTGGAAAAAAAAGTTAATGTTTTGCTGCTTCTCCCTTTAACCCTTCTTTCTTCTTCCTGCTAACAAGCTGGTAGCTTCTGCCATAGGTTGTTCTTCCTTGAATGACTGTCACTAATCCTTCACAATCTCCCTTTCATCACTTCTCCATCCATTTAACATCCTGCAGCTAAAAAAAAATAATAATAAAAAAAAAAAATCTTCCCTTCATGCCACACCAAACATTTCATTCCTTTCATAAGTCCTTCAATGGATTTTGAATTCTCTCCAGATTAAGATCAAGCATTCTTGTTCTCACCTTAAATATACTACACAACTTTGCTCCTGCCTATATTTCAACACGTTTTCAATTATTCATCCTCTCGCAACTCAAGTTGTGCTCAACTCTTCTTACCTTGTACATTTTTATCTGAGTTAAAATAGCAGACAAGGTAAACTGGGTTTTAATGAGGATTAATGGCTTTAAAAAACAAACAAAAAACAAAACAAAAACAAAAAAACAATCCCAGGTTCCCCTATAGTTTGAACATGAGCTGCCAATCACAGATAAAGATGACATTACCTTGTCTTGACTGCTAATTTAACAAGTTAATTATGCATTTTAGGGTGGAAACAGATGTCGCTTTTCATTATTTTTGTGCTACCATTGAAATTTTTATGGCAGCACAAAGCAAAAAGATGTCCGTAGCCTTCGTTATACCACAAATACCAAATTGGTGGCTACGACAAAGGTAGTAAATTTGTGCTGCCTTATTACAGTTGATGTTTATTTGCTTTATGGCAGAAGAGTGAGCACACCCCAGAGCTGCCACTCTGCAGCTGCCCCTGGAGTGCCTGCTCAGCTTTCCTCACTTCCAAAGACATGCTCCCAGCAGTCTCCAGGGTACATCTTTGGAAGCAGGGAACACGTCACCCGCTATCCTTCAGATCAATGGTCAGGACAAAGGGCAACGTGTGTTTCACTCAATGAAGTGGATCAGCTGTGCCTGGACACAAGTAGACATACCCTTTGCCTTCTTTCCACGTGCATCCTAGGGCCAGGACAGCCATGTCTTTTCAGCACTTGAAACACCCTAACCCTTCAGTTCTTCCTATTCCCAAGTTCAACCTTTGCTTTTTGTTATGGTATCACTATTTATCTAGTTTAGACTATAGATTCTTACACACAGGGTCTATGCTTCTGATATCCTTGTGAAATAGCAAATCACTATGGTGCTGGATAAATAAATAAAACAGAAGGTGAAAGATAACTTACAAAGGTTAAATAAAGAGCCCTTATATTCAAAAGCAGTAAAAAATTAAACTACCAGTTAGAGTGAAGGGAGACAAAGGACTGCAGTAATGGGGCTGAAGGGAGAAAAATGAAAAGACAAATGGGGGTTGTTTTTTTTTTTTTTTTT